AGAAGCTACTAGGAACAAGTGCATCGCTTCTAGTAACAAGTGCCTTACTAGTACTAACAAGAAGCTAGTAGAAACAAGTGCCACGCTACTTGTTACTAGAAGCGATGCACTTGTTACTAGTAGCGAACCTTTTGCCTAAAGAAAGAAATGCCCCTAGTAGATTCCTTGCTCCTAGTAGCGATGCCAGGAGCCCCTAGTAGCGAACCTTGTTCCTAGTAGTAAGGCCAGGAGCCCCGTTCGTAGCTTCTTTTCCTTTGTTCCTTCCTTTGTATTTAACTTAGCTGCTCGTTCTTTGCTGTACCATTTCTGCGTCTTGTGAGACCACACCATCGTCCATGGCTCCGTGACAGGTGTTTAACCCACTTCAGCAGCGATGGTCAAAGACGGGTGCAGCAAGCAACTAAGTTTCCAAACTTCTTTTGGAGGTAACTTCAGTTTGGATGGGGTTACTGAGTCTATGTAGGTTATAGTTTTTTTCTCTCTCTCTCTCTCTTTTCGTGCGAGTTTGCTGAGGCCTTACTAAGAGCGCGGTGGGGCCATGGTTACCCGGCCGACTTTGTCAAGACATAGAGATAGACAAGACGGGACATACTTTCTTGTTTTGGGGTCCTTGATGATGGCAGGCTGCTCAGTCTTAGGGTCGGAAGTTTATGCTGTCGTGCCCTCAGCCAGAGCAGCATTTCAGAGCAGTGTGACATCGCACCAGTGTATTGAGGTTGGTGGTTGTGCCCTCCTACCAGGCTCTTTGATTGGAGAGGACCAGACAGATTAGAAAGCAAATGCTGCGAATGGTTGCTTGTGAGCAGCTTGGGAACGTGCTTGGTTTCTTTCCTTGCAAAGACTAAACGTAATCTTTTCTTGCTACTTATTGTGTAGAGTTCCCAGTTTTCTTCCAGGAGCTGATGGAGACCTTGCGCAGTTGTGAGGCAAACCCGCCGCCACTTCCATGCAGTTCGCGACACTGGCATTCTCCACGTTTATCCTTTAGACTAAGTAGCAAGGACGCTAATGGGTGGAGGCCATCGCAAGAAGGTTGGATGTCATCGAAGAAGGTTGGCGGTCATCGCTATTAGGTGGAGGCCATCGCAAGTAGGTTGGAGCTATCGCTATTGGGTGGAGGGCATCGCAAGTAGGTTGGAGGCCATCGCAAGTAGATTTGAGGCCATCGCTCTTGGGTGGAGGGCATCGCAAGCAGGTTGGAGACCATCGCAAGTAGGTTGGAGGCCATCGCTATTGGGTGGGGGGCATCGCAAGTAGGTTGGAGGCCATCGCACGTAGATTGGAGGCCATCGCTATTAGGTGGAGGGCATCGCAAGTAGGTTAGAGGCCATCGCAAGTAGATTGGAGGCCATCGCTATTAGGTGGAGGGCATCGCGAGTAGGTTGGAGGCCATCGCAAGTAGATTGGAGGCCATCGCTATTAGGCGGAGGGCATCGCAAGTAGGTTGGAGACCATCGCAAGTAGGTTGGAGGCCATCGCAAGTAGGTTGGAGGCCATCGCTATTAGGCGGAGGGCATCGCAAGTAGGTTGGAGGCCATCGCTACTAGGAACCAGAAGCTACTGGTAGCATTCAGCGATCCCTCTGTCCGGTTTCAAATTCTCCATGTTCCTCCGGTTCCAAATCTGATCGTCAGAGCTGCTCAGTCAGCCAGGCGTATGACGTGACCACCGATTCGTGGCGAATTGCTCCGAGCCTCAATGTGGCTCGTGCGGGTGCAAGGTGCGTCTACGCACACGCACACACACAGTATCACACAGTATATGTATATGTGTAATCTTTTATCTTTACATTAGAAAATGTATGCACATCAATTGCGCCCTCAGGGCTCTTCACATCTGTATCTTGTTCAGCAAGCTCATTCCATCCCTCTCTGCACTAGGGTTGTGACCATTGCTGGTGGCAAGTTGGCCGCTGTGGGTGGTTGCGATGACGTCTTTGGAAGGGCAGAGTCCGAGACTCAGGAAAGGGTGGGTAAGGGTAGAGCACGAGAGTCATTTAGGCTGAACACGTTCGGGAAGAGTCATTCCTTGGAGTGACATGCTATGCCCTGCCAAGGATGCTTGCGAGTGTGGAAATCTTGAAGCAAGGGTCGCGCAGCTGAAGTAAAGATGATTCAGTCAACACCACCCTAGATGTTCACCTATTTTTTACTATCTCCTTTCTCCCGAGGAATAGCAACTGGGAGCTCCTGGATACACAGCTTGGTGTCCCCAGGAGCATTCTAGGGTCTCTTTAGCTTTGCCAGACGCGTTTCAACACTGCCAAGTGCTGGTTGTAGGACCACGGCTGCAGCAGTGGCTCTCGATGCTGAAAGGATCCTAGCACGCACCTCGATGATTTGCCGGCTTTGGCTTGACTGAGATTTGATGCAGCCTGAGCTGGCTCGGAATGGGCTTCTTGCCAGCTCTCGTCAGGTGATGGGCGGTGCACCCTCATTGTCATCAGCAGAGGCGAGGAAAGATCCTTCTATGCAGACTGCAATTGGGCAAATTTGCACATGTGAGATGCGAGGTCTACCATGTCCAGAAGAAAGCGCAGGAAGATCAAGGTGAGCAAAGGGCACAGGGGATTCCCTCTGGTCAAGATGGATTGAACTGCCGTTTCGCAGGAGAGGTTGGGTGCGCCAGCCAGATCCAGATCGGAGACATGGCAGAAGGCCGCATGGGCTGCCAAGCTGTAGTGATGCGACTGCCAGCACCTGGAAAGCCATCATCTCAGATCAATGAAATCCGCCTGTTTGGAAAATACAAGGAGAAAGGAAGGTTAGTAAGGTTCCTTTGAAAAGTGCCTTGCTTGCCGCGTTTCATTTGTTTTTCTTATTCTCTTTTCTCATCATGGCTCATGACGGCCATCCAAGCCTTTCATTGGCGCTTACCACTGGGAGCCATTGATTGCATAACTCTTACTGAGGACCTTCCCAACTTGTACACGGCAATGTGTCGTGGTGGTCGGTGGAGAGAATGGAGACGAGGAGCCTTGAGCTTTCAACCTGGGTGCTTGAAGAAAACTGCTAAGAGCAATGGCCTCCACCCTAGTAGCGTCCTTGCTCCTAATAGCAAAAAAGCCTGAGAGCGATGGCCTCCAACCTAAGAGCTTGACAGGACTGGGAAGATGAAGGTGCTACTCTGGCAAGGCAGTTTAGCACTGTTCTGGTCTTCGATGCGGAGGAGGGTGTTTGGCGACCGACAGACGCACTTTGAAAGCAAGAAGCTGTCCAGGCTGTCCAGTAGCCAGTTCAGTGTTTCTATCAGAGGTCCGGTTAACCCAAGGCCTTTCCACACTTGCCGACACCGCGAACAGCGATGGCGCTTTGTGTGGCTCCGGGATTAGTGGTTGGCTCCCAAGTCTTGAAGGTGAGTGGGAAACCTGTCGGAAACCTGGAAAATCTGACGGTCCCCAGTGGCTCCGATTTTCACCGAGGTCGGCCATTGCCACTAAGCTCCAAGCCATTCCGCCTAGTGGGGACCTTTAGCTTGCTCAAGCAAGCCAGCCATATACCAAAACATCAAGGGCGCTACCGTTCTTTTTTTGACTCCTATTGGTTCCAAACAATTGAGCTTGCTGTTGTCCTTGTTGTTTTGGGATGCCTGGTTCTGTGAGTGGTCCCCTTACCTCGTCACTCTGAGCCGTCCTGGGCCCTGCCCTGGAACTCGGTCAACTTTCTATCGTGCACTGTGTCTGCCAATGGCAGAGCTGGAGCCACGACATGGGACACCCCTCCGCACCGTGTGACACGCTGCCATGTGACACGCATCAAGTGCTTCAAACGGTGTTTGTGTTGCCAGTAGGAAGTGATAGCGCTTCCAAGTGCAATATGTGCAGCCTGGGCAAAGTGTCCTTGTGTTTGGGCATGGTACTCCCCTAACTGGGAGCTACATCCAGATGTGGCTGCAACACCTTACGGCCACAAGGCGACATGCAGACGGCGGATTCCTGATCAGTCATTTGCTAAAGCAGGGACCCAATAGCTTCCAACCTAATAGGCTTGATATAAGAAAAGGTGACTTACGGTGACTTGTTTATCTCAAACACTGGAAGGACAGTTCTTCATGGAAAGTCCTGCCTGCTTGAAGCCAAGCTGAATCGTAGGCGGGCGATCTGCTTGGGACTAGCACTCTTCAATGACTGATATTGGCGATTCTAGGGAAATTTTCTTGTGGAGGGGCAGTGTTCATGTTGGTAGGTGACACGTAGAGGCCCCCATGCTTCTAGACCAAGCCAAAACCACTATAATATATATATAAATATATGTATATATCATAGTCTCGAGCAAAGCTGGCTGCTGCATCACTTCTGGTGGTGTCGATGTGATGCGGTTTCTTAAGTAGCACTTGAGCCAATGGCATCGTTCATAGACATCATAAAGTCATAAAGAAGTGGGCAGATGCTTGAAACAAGAGCCAAACACAACCCATCCCACCAGAATCTGATCATCTAAACATATGCAAAGACGTCAACATATAAACCTCTCAAAACAACAACAAGTAGTCAGGTCCAAGACTTACGGTGCGAGCATTCTTTTCCTCGAGCAGATCAGCCAAATGAGCTCCTACGCTCTGCAACAGGGCCAGAAGTGGAGCCATAGGCTTTCAAAGGATCAAGCGCAGATCTTGCACTCGATGTGATGAGAACAGGACAAGCTAGGAGACTAAATATTCCTTTAGCGCCAGCAGTGCTGAAAGGTTTATTGCGCAGTTTCAGTCCAAGGGATACGGAGACCCGCGTTGTTTTGCAATTCTAGACGGCAAGCAACGGGAGACGGAGGAGAGATCTCCGTGCTTTCAAGGCTGCAAGAAGTTGAGCGCTTCCTGCCTCTCAGTTTCACCAGCGGATGCGCAAGTGTCCTGAGGACTGCGCAGACTGCAGAGGGCCTGATCGAAGCTAGACAAACGCTAAGCCGCTAAACAAACTAGCAGAAGCCATGCTTTCCAACGTTTGTGCCAGTCTAGAACTTGGTAGAAAAATGGAAACACGGTAAAGTATTTTTCCTTTTTCAAGCTTTGATCAGCCTCTCTCTTTTTTGGCCCCTGTGCCGCTCTGGCAGCGTGACACTTACAATGTGGGAAGTGTGTGGGACCGAATTTGTGACGAGTTCTTTCGGCTTCGAATTTGTGCCGCTTTGGGCGCTCGCACCCAGAGCCTCTGAACAGTGCAAGCCCTAGGCTTTGCAGTTGACCTGCGGCATTGAGCGGACCGACCTGTGCCAATTTTTGGCCGAACGATGAACCTCAATCCTTGATGCTAAGCTTGCTGCCAGCTTGCTGCTAGTAAGGGGTGGCAAGTCCGAGCAAGCTGTCCCAATGTTAGTTGCCCAGTGATTCCTTCATTTGATTCCCCCTTCTCACCCAGCACATGCTAAGCCCCTAGACCCAAACTATTTCACTTTTCCCAGGCGGATGGTGTCATTCCCGTTTTGCTCAAGTCCTACCGAACCTGCTCTACAATTTGGGAGGGTGAGAGAAGGAAAGCCTGCAAACACGAAGATGAGGCTGCCACCCATCTCCGGGCGTTCCTTACCACAGTATGTGTCATGGTCAAGTCTTGCAATGTCTGTTCAGCCTACCAGCCTACCCCTCCTATCAAAAAATGCCCGAGAAAACACCGACAACCTTGGCCAAACCAACTGCAACGGAAAGGGCCGTTGCTTGTGCCGGAGGGAAACTGCCAAAGAGGTCAAGCCGGAGAAGCATTCCGGTATGGAGGGGAACAAGCCGTGACGTCAAAGCCATGCAAAACCTATCACCCAATAGAAGCACTTAGAAATTGTTCTTGTGGGCGTCGCGGTTGCCGGGACTCAAGCAATGGGGGCATCTTTTAGAGGAGAAAAGCATGCTGATCAGCGGTTGGCAGTGAGTGAAAACACACACACACACACACGTCACAGACGGACAGATGTGCTTGCATTCCCGTGTAACGTTTTATGTTCTGATTTTTTCGGCTCGGGGAAAGCACTTTGGCGATGTTGCCTTTGGCGCCTAAAACGCCAGTGCGATCAGCCTGGCCAGCACGGCATGCGCGGCCAGTGCCTGCTGTTCAGAAGTTGGTCAGCCCAGGCAGGATGAGTTTGATGAGCAGTCCGTGGCCGAAACAAGACACTGTGCTGGCTAAGGTCTAGGTGCCCCAGGCGTGCCATGCCTTCTCGTATCGGTGGCGTTTGATCTCTGTGGCAAGCAGCTCCGAGGCCACCTCAAAAGCCTGATCAGTTTATACCAAGAGCACATGATTCAAGCTACTAGTATCAAAGGGCATTGCTACTAGGAGAAAGAAGCTACTAGTAGCTCCTGGCATTACTACTGGTAGCACAAAGCTACTAGTATCTGTGACGAAACACTTCAGCTGTCTCCTTTGCAGGCCGGAAATCTCGGCAGGCGACTGCTCGACGCTCCACCGTGGTCTCTCCATTTGGAGCTCCCCAGGCAAGGAAAAGAGAACAGAAAAGAACAACAAATATGCATGATTTTCCTGTCTCTTTAGACGCTTTTAGGTCTTGACCTCTCTTTTCTCCTTTCTTTCAACAAGGCGTTTTTTTGCCGAGAGTGCTTCAGCTTGAGGAGACGAAGGTCGAAGAGGAAGTTGCTGAAGAGAAGCCAGAGGACAAAAAGAAGTCTGAAGAGAAGCAAAAGCCCAAGCTGCCATTGACTTGGGACAATGTGCAAGAGGCCGGGAAAGATCGGCAATGTACCCAAGGCATTGATTGCTGTAATGTTGGTAGGTTTTGGACGAGCTACGGCCCTACTTGAAGAGTGATGGCGGCGACTGCAAAATCTCCGACATAGATGGGACCGTTGTAAGATTGGAACTCATTGGGGCCTGCAGTAGCTGCTCAGCATCCTCGGTGACTATGACAATGGGCATAGAGAAGCCTGCCGCTGCAACATACAACATGAAGCAGTTCTTTTGTTCTCTTGATTTCTAAATCTGCTACCTCTTGGATTTGATGATCTCCGTCCTCTCTTGGATCTCGAGCCAGTAGTTCACTAAGGAAATCGCTGAAAGAGCGAATCCCAGAAGTCTCCGAGGTTGTGGCTGTGACACCGGAACAGGAGCCACTAACATCAGCTGGCGTGGAGGAGGTGTCTTGAGTGTTTCCTTTGTGATTCGTGTGGTGTCAAGACTCTTGGTGATGTTGATGATTTGATTTAGATGCCACATTCTTTTACTTCCTTTATGCCTGGCCAACCTTATGATACTAGTCGGTGGAGTGTTGCTCAGAGGGTGCATTGATATGCTTTGATACCTTTGCAGTTGCCTGGCCCTGGAGAGGTCTTGAATGGGATCCGGCCCTTTCTAAGTGTGAGTGGTGGATCAATTGAGATTTTCGAGCTTGGGGATGGAGACGATCCAAAGGTGGTGCTCAAGATGATTGGACCACCTTTGAAGAGTATGGCGGCAACTTGCCATTCTCAATCTTTACGCTTTCTTGATTCTTGATCAACCTACTAGCGCTGGCCTCTAACCTACTAAGAGATTCTTGGTGTGATGCCGTGTGATGTCTCCAGGTACGAGTTGAGGTTCAGAATCGGATCAAGCGGAAGTACCCGGCTGTCCAAGAAGTGAGCATCGTAGGTGAGGACGGGCAACCACCCTCGTCTGCTTGAGTTAAGCTGGTCAGGAATACAGTCCGCGGCCCTTACGCCTCTTGAGCACACAAGCTTGTTCAACCACCGTCTGGATGCACATCACTACGAAAGACTACCAAAGACATTCCAAACTGCTAGTAATTACAAGTGCATCGCTAGTAGTAACAAGTGCCTTACTGGTAGTAACCATGTTTGCTAGTAATTACAATTCTAATTAAATTCTTGTTACTAGTAGTAAGGCACTTGTTTCTAATAGCCTTTTGTTACTACTAGCGTGGCACTTGTTACTAGTAGCTTCCAAACTCACTCTCTTCAATTTGACAGTGAAGTGCTCTTTCAAAGAGTAAGAATTCCCCAGTCCTTCTGGCCGTGTTGCGGCGAGCACACAATCAAGGCCGAGTGTTTTTTCAGCCTGACCATACCCCTGCGCCATCCCGGCAAAAGGAGATTAGGCAATTTTTTGCCGGTGATTATGTTTCAGCATCCCGCAAAAAATGTGTTCATTCTGTTTGCTGTGCTAGCCGTTTCTTCAAAGGATGGTGTTGTAAACAGACTCCATGGTTCATGACAGACAAGCCTGTCCGAAGGCATCAGTGAGACTTGAGACTGGTCCTTGATGCTACTTTCTGGCTACTTTCTTGAAACAGAGCCTAATAGCAATGGCCTCCAACCTACTAGTCATGGCTTCTAACCTACTCCTCCAACCAGACACTTGCTGAAATTGTTGAACTTGTGTACTCGACCCGAAAGCAGTGCCATTCGATTTTAACACAGAACACGCGTTGCAGAGCCCATGGTTTGCTTTGCACCCTTTGCGCCCACACACTTGCATGGACGGGCCTGATGAGGATGAAGGAGACTTTAACCTGCTTCCCAACCTTTTTCACAGCCAGCCATGTGATTTAGCAAGGAGTTACGGCTGAGAAGCGGAGGCGTGGGGGGTGTAGGGCTGGGAGATCAACATGCCAAGTCCTTCTTTGGCCTTCAGCCTTGCAGGCCTTCACCTCTATGCCAGGTGTGCCAGCAGCTGGAGTCACGATATCGTGCGATTCTCAGTGAGCCCAAAGCACATTCAGAAGGATGCCTTGACTTAAGGCTTGTTTGGCCAAGGCTGAGCCTCTTTGATTTTGCAGTTTTTTTTTTAAAGTTGGGGGGTGTAGGCCCATGTAGGCTAAAGTGGCACAGGGTGGGCAAGGGTACTTCAATTGGCAGCAAATTGATAGCAAGAACTTCAAGCAACACTTCTTCAAACAACGGTAGCTAGATGCAACTAGCAGCGCTGCTAGCAGATCCTGCTCTGTAAGGCAGGCGCTCCCTTGACTTGAAGAAACCTTTGTATGGAGAAGAACCCGTATCGAATCCACAGCATTCTTGTAAGGAGTAGTGAGTAGTAGTACGTGTGACGATGTATTCAGATTTGAAGCTTCTTGCGGAGTTCATTGATGACTGTTATTTTGGCTTGATTTATCAAGAGATTGGGGTGCCCCAATCGCTTTGCAGAAGATCAATGTCATTGCCTGCTTGCTTACCGGGCTTTTCTTCTCTTTCTTTGTGCGGAATTTGCTGAAGTTTATGCATGCAAATGCTAGTCTGCTTTAGGCAGGGTTGCCTTCTTTTAGATTCGATGATGCATCTCCACCCGCGTAAACCCGCGTAAACCCGCGTAAACCCGCGTCACCAAATTCAGACACATTTCCCGCTGCACTGTGGAGATGCACCCATCAGCTTCATGGCCAGTGAGCGGGCTCTCACTGTTTTTTCAACACGAAGATAAACATGCCGAAGCAAAGGAGGCCACACCGCCTCAGCAAACCCTTGGCTTTGGTTAAGAAGCGCTCATGCTCTTGCTTGCTTGCTTGCTTGCTGGCTGGCTGGCTGGCTGGCTTGCTTGCTTGCTTGCTTGCTTGCTTGCTTGCTTGCTTGCTTGCTT